CATATAATTTCATATAATATAATTAATATTATTAATATTATAAATATAATTATTTATATTATATATTCAATGAAAAATTATAAATTATAAATATACTATAAATTATGATATAATTTTTTTATCTAAAAAATAATTTGAATTTAGCGCGACTTCTATTATCCAATTAAATTATATAAAGAATTAATATAGAATCATGAAATTCTTTAATATAAAAATAATTTAGATTTGATGCGTGTTCTTTTTTCTATCATCCAATCAGATTGGGTAAAAATTCAATATGGTCATATATTTTCCGAAAATCCCTAAAAATGCAAATATTTGCGTGTAAATAACTTTTAGTCACTGAATTTCTATAATTAAAATTATCTTTTTCGAATTTTATATATCAAAATTTATAAAGATATATAAAAAAATATTTCAAATTTAAATATTTTAAATTAAAATTTAATTTTTTTATTTAATTGTTGAATTTATTATATTTAGAAAATAATAAATAATTTTAAAGTAAATAAATGTTAAAATGATGAAATGTTAATAACTTGTATACATTCTTTTTAAGCGATTCTAATTAACGTATAATTAATGATATAAGGAAATGTCAAATCTAGTTTAACGTTTAAAAAGTCTATGGTAATTTTTAAACTAAGGAGTTGTAAATAAACAAGAATAAAACAATGAATAGAAAATAAAGATAAAAAGGAAGATATAGTTGAAATATAAATTTATTTCTGTATAAAGTGTATTTATTTATTCTTTCAGAAATTATAGAAATAGAAATTTAAAGTGTTTTTTAAATAAAAAAAAAGAATGGATCAAATGTTACCTAGTCCTGGATTTAGCATTCCAAGTATAGGTACACCTTTACATCAACCAGAAGAGGATCAACAAATCTTACCTAATGCATTACAACAACAGCAACAACAGCAGCAGCAACAGCAACAATCACAGCAGCAACAACAATCACAACAGTATCAATTACAACAACTACATACCATGAGTCCAAACATACAAAGTGGTATGCTGATGATCGGAACACCACAAAAAAATATGCATGCCTATGCAACAACACCTGCTTTTGCAACACCACAAAGTCTTATGCAACCCCAAACACCGGTATGGCTAAATAATAATAGTAATAGTTTTTAAATTTATTGAATATTATGTTTTATATTATCTGAAAAAATTATAATATTGTTTATAGCAAAATATGATGTCTCCATTAGTACAAAATACTAATCATATAGCTCCTCCATCTATAGGACCATCTACACCTGGTCCTATGACACCTATGACACCAGCTTCTGCAGATCCAGGAATATTACCTCAACTTCAGTAAATAAAACATTATTTTGAAAATTATAATAAAAAATATATCTAATACATTACATATCTAATATATTGATCTTACAGGAATATTGTTTCTACAGTTAATTTAAATTGCAAATTAGATTTAAAAAAAATAGCTCTTCATGCTAGAAATGCGGAATATAATCCAAAGAGATTTGCTGCAGTTATTATGAGGATAAGAGAACCAAGAACTACTGCATTAATATTTAGTAGTGGAAAAATGGTTTGTACTGGAGCAAAGAGTGAAGAGGATTCTCGGTTGGCAGCAAGAAAGTATGCCAGAATTATTCAGAAACTTGGTTTTCCTGTTAGTAAATATTTTACTATAAAATTATTTATTTATTTTTAATCAATTATTATAAACTTAATTTATTTTACATAAAGGCAAAATTTCTTGATTTCAAAATACAAAATATGGTAGGCAGCTGTGATGTGAAATTTCCAATTAGATTAGAAGGTTTAGTACTTACACATGGACAATTCTCTTCATATGAACCTGAACTCTTCCCTGGATTAATATATCGTATGGTTAAACCTAGAATCGTTTTACTTATATTTGTTTCAGGAAAAGTAGTGTTAACAGGTTAGTAATTACTATATATGTTATATATTTTTATGTGTTATTCTTCTTTTTATATATACTTATGATTCATTTTTTAAATTATTGTTATTCTTATTATGTGAGTAGGAGCAAAAGTTAGACAAGAGATTTATGAAGCATTCGATAATATCTATCCTATTTTGAAGAGCTTTAAAAAGCAGTGATTTTATTTTTTATTACATGTTAAAGTTATGTATTAAATGGACAAAACTAAGGTAAGATATTTTGATATTATTGCCTTATAGTCAATAAATAAATAAAATAAATTGTGTATGTTTTGCTATGGTGCTAAAAATTTTTTTAAAAAATTAAAAAATGTATGAAATTAATAAATTAAAAAATATTTTTGTTAAAATAATTACTAAAAAAAAATAATGTTTAATTTTTAATTTTATTAAACAATTTTTAAAAGCAGAAGCTTCCAAATTTATTATTATGGAATAATGTGAAAAATATAGACTACTTGGAAAGCAATTTACCTTCTTGATGATATGGTACTTTGATTGAAAGGTAGTTATTATTCTTTAGAATTGAACTATTAATTTATATAATGTATATATTGTTAAAATTTATAACAAATTTCATTTTATTTTATGCATAAAATATGATTTATATTTTTTCAATTAATAGAAATAACTAATACCTCATTATGCAAATAATTGTAAAGAGAAGAAAGAAATCCATCTATAGAATAAGAGAGACAATTTTTATGTTTGTAAGATTATCTGTATTCTTAAAAATGCTTTAACTCTGTAAAAATTAGATAACATTTTGATACATTGTAATATGAATTAATTACAAAATGAAAATTGTACAAATATTAAAACATTTTTATTATAAAAATATACATTTTATTGTGACAAAAACTTGTTTTAATGAAATATTTTATTATTTTATTTAATTATGTAATTTCATAATAGTTTTTACTAAACATTGCTGAAGTACAGGACAAATATTTTTGTTAACTGTTGTTAAAATTTCTGTTGCTTGTATAATAGAGTTTGTATCAATGCTTCCAATTAAAAATACTTCAGATACTTGATTATGCTGTGCAAGACTAGCTAGTGTAATTATTCCATGATTAAAATCATCTTGATTATCTGGTTGTGTATTACATATTACTTCTTCTGCATCAGTAGGATCCATTAAATAATGATTATCATATATACCCTATATTTTTATTGAAATTAATACTTAAAAAAATAAATAATAAAAAAATATTTATGTTCTTAGTTTTTTTTATATAATAATCACTTACTATAGTAGAAGCTGTAACCAAACCAAACATAGGAACACCTGCATTAGCTAAAGCAGTACTAGCAGCCATAATTGCAGCTGCTAATGAAGATCCAGCATTATCTAAGACCATTGCATATACATCTACTTGAAAATTAGGAAATTCATGCTGAAAAATAACAACTTTTTATATATAATATTAAGAATGATCATTATATAAATAATAGAAATTAAATTATAAACGTATATATTGAATTTGCTTTGAAGTATTTTTATAATTAAATTAATTTAATTTTTAAAAAATATATTTCTACTGAAATAATTATTAATTAATATTTGTAATAATAATAATTATATAAAAAAAAAGGTATTATAGAAAAATTTATATTATATATAATATATATATATGTATTTACCAAACATACAGCTGGTTCTAATGCTCTTTGTAAAATTAAACTATATTGTTTTTCCTCTGCATCTTGTTGATGAATTTTTCTTTTCTGACAAGAAAATGGAGCAAATTTAAATTCGCAATAAATTTCTCCTTGTGTACAATAACCATTCCTATTTGATAATTCTCTAGGATCAAAGACAGAACAAACTACTTTTGTATTTCCTAATTCGATATAGGCAGATCCTTTTGCCTGGCTAACAATACCTGTTTTTAAAACTGTAAAAATGAAATATAAATAATTATTTCAACAATATTTAATAATATTTATTTATAAGATAAAAAAAGTTTAATCTTACATATTTTTCTCATTTCATTATTAGTTCGTTTATCATTTCTTATATTAAAAACATGTTTTACTTTGTCACTTTTTTTATTAAGATTAGAATAAATATAATAAGGTATAGACACATCTGGACCATTAATTCGTCTTTGATCGATAGGCATTTTAAAAATAGAATATTCTTAATTTTCAATTAATATAATAACTTAATTAACCTTAAAAATATACAATTAATTATAAAATATTTATAATAAAATATTATGCATACATAACAATAATATCAATGCCTAAAATGCCTATGCAGTAATAAATTATTCTACATTACACGAACTTAAGAAGATTTTGTGTGAAGTATTGTGCTATGCGCATAAGAGAAATATAAAATATATTGCGCATCACACTACACTCCATAACCTTTATTATTATATATTTCGTAAATGATTTAATATATGTATCAATGAAAAGATTAATTATCCATAATTTCTTTTTGAATTTATTATTAATATTAATATACAATTATATATCAATTTATTTTAATTATCGAAAATCATATAATTAATAATTATGAAAATTCCTATTCTTTCTAAAAATCTATTACTGCATATTAACTAGTATAATATAATTAAAAAAAACGTTAAGATTAATGCATGAGATAAATTTTTAATATATTATAAATTATAATATTAATCATTATCATATATATATTTTAATTATTAATTCAATTTAAATAATATTTATTTTGCTATTGAACTTCTTGCTTAATGTCACTTTTCATCATAGAATTTTAATACAACTTTTATTATAAAAATATAAAGATGTATAAGATTATATAAAATTGT